GTTTATAAGTTAACATAAAATCTCTTAAGAAAATTATTTCTCGGTGAATGTCAAATATCTGTACTCAAGGCTTGTCCTCTACAGTTCCCATTCTGAAGATACAATTAAGGGTTTATGTGTTTATGCAATTATGTTTATGCACATGAATATTTTCTTAAAACAACTTAGACCAAGCCTAAGAAAAGAGCAAATGCCTTACTCTGCGCTTCTCATGAATTTAAATAAGGCCTGTAGCGCTTCATGCATTAATGATTAGTGTTTTATTAAGAATTTGAGTTGATAATCTAATTAATGCAGTATATATGTATATACATCTCTCTCTCTCTCTCTCTCTCTTTCTCGCATTCCATTCTCATCTTCGCTTCTTTTCTTTTGTTTTTTTTTAGATGACAATAAAATCCTTTCGGTGGATGTCAATTTTTGGGTAAGTGCATATTTACATACTTTTCATATCTGGGCATGGGTTAAAGTCAAATATATTTCAATTAATACTTCCATAAACATTCAATGTGCATCAAAAACTGAAAGGGGGCTCTTGCTGAGAAGAGGGCAGGGTATTTAATTGCGATTACTTTTTGTGCGAAATATCGTTATTCGCGACGAGTTGACAGCGACATTTGGCAATGCAGTTGGCTCCGTTGTAGTTGTTGCTGTTAATAAAAATTTATGATTATTGTTTTCACATTTTTCATGTTGTCAATATTAAAAACATTATTTTTCACGCGAATTGCCGTCAATGGCCGAATATCGCAATGTTGGACAAGGATCGCTCGTCTGTTTTGCAGCGAGGAAATTGTTATTGAAATTCGTTGATGGAATTCGCCAAAAAATAACAGCAACAACAATTGCATGTAGAATCCATTCAATCGACTGGCCAGCACTCATAACTCAGCCTCAGCCTGGGCCTGAGGCTCGCTGCCTTAGACTCAACCGTGGAGCAGTGGAGGCGCCATTTGGACGGCTGTACAGGACACAAATCCATTCCATGGTGGCACTGGCATTTTCCATTGGCATTGTTGCGGGATTCGGCACAATTGTCAGGCAATAAATCGATGTGTGTAGGGCTGTAAATTTTTGCGGATGGCCGATGAAAAAGTGCATATTATGCAATTCGACAATACGCCAAACATGTCGACCTACGTACGCACCACACACACACACACACACACACACACTCGCACCCGCTCAGCTGCATTGCAGCGCAAACGGAAACGGAAACGCGCACACAAGTTCAGCCTCTTCTTCATCTTCGACGAACGCTGGACGTTGCGCCCCTCCCCTATACAACCGATTGCAGTGCTTTGCATATCAATGAAAATGCATAAATTTTTTTTCCTGGCCGCGTTGATTTTTTGGTGCACCCGACGGCTTGCGGGTTGTGGGGCTGCGCGGTGGCTGCGGGGTGCTACTTGCATTGCCCAAAAACGAAACCGAAACCGTCCATCAAGGAGCATAAATCAGTTTGGGCCGACGCGCTGAAAAAAATGGCCACACGCGAGGACCCCACCCACGATTCAGTACAGGATGCTTCACATTTGACAAAAAACGCAACAGCCCCCACGGCCACCTCCGGTTCCCGTTCCCCATTCCAGGACACGGCCGTGCAATGTACTAGCTCAGTTACACACTCACACCCACACACCCGCACACCCATTGATGAAACGTAATCCTCCCGAAAAACTGCACCATGCAAAAACATCGAAAATCCATAAAAATGCATCATAATTTCTTACCACGCCCCACTGGAACTGGATCATCATCATCGCGTTTAACAGCCAAATGGTTGACGCTGAACAAGTTCGAATCCCCACATTTTGTATGCCATGCACTAGGGGTACTCAGGCTGATCACAATATTCATATTTCGATTGGAAAGTTTACTATTATATTGATTGCAATTTTTATTGCTTATATATATAACTTATAACTTATTAATTTTCATCAATTTGGAATTTTCCCGTTTCTGTCTTCATAATTACTTTAAATTCTTCTCATATTTCACTTCGAAATTGTTTAATTATTACCAAAGCTGCCTTTAACCCGCTCGGCCAATTCTGTTGTCAGTTTATCCAATTATTAGCGTGATTCGCACATCGTTTTGTGGAGCTCCAATCAAGTACAATATTAAGTATATCTATTTCATATTTCTCTGCCCACTTCTGACTAACCCTGATGCATTATTTACCTGCCTGTGCCCGAATTTTGCAACATCCTGCGGAACTGATGGCCATCAAAGCCCGCTGCGTGACTGTGCAAGGGCTGAGCTGTTGAGTGCATGCGCGGCCCACCGGAGCAGCGCAGTTGACGCATGTCCTTGTGCGAATGTCCTGGCCGCATGTTAATAGATTTGCATTGGATCTGGTGCTGGTTCAAGTAGTGGTCCTGGTTCTGGTCCTGGCCTGCGAGCTGACGGGAATAACGTAGCGTATTCCATACGCCACTTGCTGTGGCATCTTTTCCGCGCGAATGCATATAATCACTGGCTGCCCGCCCACGCCCTCCCGCCCACACGCCCATTTTGGGCCGACTCTTTGTTTTCCTTAACGAATGGGCGACCGTAAATTTTGCTTCATTCATTGGTAGGATGCGTCGAGAGGTATTCAGAGGGCTCATTCCCGCGCCTCGTTTCGGCCGCGACGCAGTTTTCAATGTGCGCATCTGAGTGCATTCGATGCGATATGTTGCCGCTGTCCACATGTCATCCTTGCATTTATTTATTGAATTATGACTTTGCCGCTAGCCAAAAGGTAAAACAGGCTTCTGCCAACAAAGAGTTATGGCTTGTAAGCGAGCCAAGCCACCATTCGATGCTTTAATGCTGATTGATAATTGTAAACCTGCTGCCGAAATGTACTGCATTTGCTCTTCAGGCAAAAATGTGCAACTCTTCTTTTTTTTTCTGGCATGACGAATTTTGTTTAATTTATTTAAGAATTGGGGTATTCACAGCAAGTGGTTGAGAGTATAAAATGTTTAAAGATCAACAGTATTTTCATCTTTCACAAAATGTTTAGGCAATTTTTCTGTCAGCCTCTTTTTTATATGGTTAGTAAATAACTGGCAGTATTCAAAACTATTAGATATTACCAGGCGTTGATCATTTTTATAAGTTTAATAGTTTATATTAAGCTATCACTTTCACTTTGATTATATAGACGGAATTAGGTCTAGGTATATATACTAGGGTCTAGGGGTATATATACTTGGTAAAAGTGTCACATATGACTTACAACTAGAGTTAATATATATTTATATAATAATATATCTTATTTGGTTTACTTAAAAGCATAATTTAAGGACTAACTGAAAACTAGTTTCAATGAACTTTCTCTTAGATTATTAACTCAGAAAAATGAATAGCTGTCAATGTTTATTTTTTAGATTTTGAACATTAAATTGTTCTCCTTTTAATTTATTGTATTTGAACTGAGTTTTGTATGGGATTAAATGCTGTAGCTGATCAACTTCTCACACCCTCTCGCCGATGTCTCTAATGAAATAGATGTGCACATAATTATTTGTCTTTGTGTTGAATCTTCATTTGTTTCACGTTCGGCTTGTTTGCCTTTGGCCTGAAGTGAGCTACTTAAACATTGCACACAGACCACGACAACGACGACGGCAAGGTAGCACAAAGGGGAATCTGGCGTAGTTTCTAAGATTTTACCAGCTGGCAAATATTTGAGTACGTAAGACGTCGGCGTTGCCTTTTAATTGTTTCTAATTTCCATGTTGACACTTGAGCTGCAGCCAGCCTCACAGCCGCACAACTGCACCCTGTGTACCGGGATCTGTATCAAAACAGTCGCTATCTGGTGTTGACAGACCCCGTGGAGGCGGCTTCTAATTCCATTAGCCGCTTACCGGGGCTTACTTTCTTCTAGCCCCAACACCCCTGGCTGGCGTTTGATGTTGAGAAATGCCGCACACGACATGCATCCACATTCTAATTAGGAATATGTGAACATTTTTACTTCTAGCCCCAACCCTGTGCGGCGGCTCTTTGAGCTGCTTTTAGATTCTTTGGTTTTTGCCGAAAATTTACGACTTTTCATTAGGCATTCGCTTAACCTGTTGACTCGAGGCGCAAACAAAAGCACCTGCTACGCAATTCGAGCACGTCTCCGTCTTTATATCTAGTTATTTCTCCCCTTACATATATAATCAACAGCGGATCAGATCTATTTGTCTGCTAGCTATCCAATCTCCGTGCGTTTAATGAACGGCTTTCTATGGATTGTAAATGTAAATGGAAACAGTTAAAGCTTAAAAATCTGTTTGTTTTTATTATATTTCTTGAGAGCACTGTTTAGCGAACCATTTTTCAAGATCCTTCTGTGTGATAAATATTATATGTAACATATAAAAACATTAATCAACCTTTTTTGCTGCCAGTGAGGGGAAGTTATATAATTAAGCCAAAAGCTCAGTTTTTGAAGGATTAGTTCTGATCAAAAAATTGAGCTCGTGGGCATTGTTTTACTCGATCATTCACTGAAAAATTCTGTCAAATTCTGGCTTTCTGTCCACCTGTCTCGCAACAAATAAAATGTTAGGTTTATATATCCACGCTATATGTGGAATAAAGATTTCTTATGGAGTCATGTGAAGATCGGCTACAAAATATTTAGCATACGCCCGCTTGGAGCGATCGATCGGAAATATATCTGTTTATAAATATTACTAAAGGGCTCTTTTAAGCTGAGCGAGTATTACTCATTCGGGTGCAACCGAAGTGTTTTGTCTGAGCTGGCGGAAAAACTTTTAAATATACAATATCACCTAAACTTAGTCCATTTGATAAATTGACTCTACCTGCCGTGTTATAGCCTATCCTTGGATATTCTTGGATATACACAGATATATCTTTTACGGTTTTTGCAATATCCCTTCTTTTTGCACATACGTTTAATAGTTGCAAAAGTATTTCAATTTGGAATTCAAACTAGTTAAAATATAATTACTCTAACAATGTTTTCAATGGCTGGGCATTTGAAATACAAATTCATTTAATTGGCGGCACACATTTAATTGGGTAACCGAATAACCGAAACCAACGAGTCGATTTAAAGTCCACGCAAGTATTTAAAATAACGGCAGCTCATCACGATTGAGCTTTAATTCCACGTGACCCGCTGCCCGCTGCTGGAACTGCGATTCGGTTCACTTGGGCTCTACTGTGTTATTTGGATATTTTTGATATTTGTCACAGTTCGATGCACAGATAAGACCCCAAGGCGTTCCATGTGCTGCCCAAAACCGATGCCGCACTCTGACCAGGTTAGTCGAAAGCCCGCGCCGCATCGGTTTATTTGTTGCGAAGAGCCCAAAAATGAGTAGTACCTGTCGCGTAATACGCTCCTCGAATTTTCTGCTGCTGCTCACGGGCTACCAGATGCACTGGTTCGACGCCAAGCAGCAGCGCTATAGGATCTCTCTGCCCGGCGTAGTCAATGTCTTTGTGCTGGCCTGCGTCTATGCCGGCTGCTTTGCCCAGCACTTTCAGCCTTCGGCGTTGCTGAAGACGCTGCAGGATGTGTCGCCTTTTCTGTACGACCTAACCCGGCTACAACTCGTTCTGAGCATCAAGGTGTTTAGCTACGCCATTTACGCATCTGTGCGTGCTGTGGGCGTGGCAAGTGCACTGACGGCCTCGTTGCCAATGAAGAGCTCGCCGGGACGTCGCCGCGTCAAGAAGGAGCTCCTCGCCTATGGTCTGCTATGCTCCACGTTCGTGGTGCTGCTCTGCTTTGGCCTGTACATCGGCTATGAGCTGGAGTTTAAGCTGCCGCCGCTAAAGGATATCATGATTGGCTCAGCTCTGTTCCTGCCTCATCTTGTGCTCGCCGGCGCCTTGCGATTCTACAGCATATTTGCCTGGCTAGCGCGTGAGCGGCTGCAGCAGCTGCAGGCGGAAGTAGACGAGCTGCTGACCATTGGCCAAATGAGAACTGAAATGCAGCTGGTGTCAGGCACTAGTTCCGTGGCAGTAGCTGCAACGCCCTCCAGCATGGACAGCCTGCTCAGCCAGTGCGAGCAGCTGCAGCAGCTGGCAACGAACTTTGGCAACTTGTTCGAGTCCCTGGAGCACTCCCTGCTGCTGCTGCTGGGCATCAATGCCAACTGTTTGCTCTTTGGCGCTTACGCCTTTGTCTACTACAGCAGCACGTGGTACGTGCTCTTCGATGATCGCAGGCAACGCATCTTCTATGCCGGAAACGCATCCATCTACGCCTGCATTGGCTGTGACTACGCGTGTTTGCTGCTGGCGCAGACCCTGCTGGAGCAACAGGTGGGTATTGCCTCATCTGATCTCAGGGGTGGAAAGCCTTAGAACGTTTCCATGAAACGGCTTGCCTTAAGTTTCAGTTCATGAAACTGGTTTTCCAAGGGTGTGAGCCCCGCGTCAAATTCCCATTGATTTCCAATAGAACTATTCATTTTATCAACAGTTGTATTTAAGATATACATACAAATGTTTGATTTATTAGAAGAAGCGCACTTTTCTTACAAATATCTAAACAAACAGAAAAAAACTACTTCAGAGCCGAACTCTTTTTAAAGAAATATACTTCGGTTTAGGCCTAGGTTCGCCTGTTAAAAACAACAATTGGAAATCCGGGTTCAAGCTGGTTTGGTTTTTCTTCTTGCAGAGCATTCAGTTCTCGGAGAGACTGAGCACAGCTCTTGGCCAAAGAAATGTCCTGCCCAAGCGAATGCGTCGCATTGCCAAGGATATGCGCACCATTTTATCGAACTGCTTTCGGCTTAAGTTCCTCTCGATCTGGCGCTTTGATGTGGCCAACTTTACGCTGGTGGGTAAAAAAAGAAGTGTTTAAAATTTGGCTTTTACCCTTCATGCTTTCTTTGCCTTGCAGCTGCAATTGCTTCAGCTGCTAATTATAGCGCTGATTGTCATATATCATTATCTAAACGATGCTATTCAGTTGGCAAACGAACGTTTCGATAGCAACAACGATGAATAATACAGATGTGGACATAAAACATTAGCTAACTACCTGAATGTCGTGTGCTTTAACTATTATATTTTCGGTTAGTTTCCAGTTCGAGTTTCCACTCTGCCCATGTGAACTCATTTAAATTATCTGTATATGAAAACTTAATCTATAAATTTATTCGTTGCCCGAGCAACGAAGCTGGCCACAAATCACGATTAAGTTTCTAATAAAATTGTTCCCCAATCAAACTAAAATTTTGTCCTGCCTGGCTTGTTGTCTCTCCTGGAGATGGCATTTTTGTCGTAACAACAAATATCGTGTCACGTTGTCTAAAAGGAAAGTACCATTAAGCTTTCTCTTAACCAAAGTTGGGACTTGACTGTATAGGAACATAATGTTTAAAATAATGAAATAGGTGTATTTGTATATTTGGTATTATAATACAAAGGTTCTAAAAACCGATTTTATTCAGTTAAAGTTATTTAAAAAATTTTAAATAAAAAAGGAGTTCTAGGTGCATAAAAATATTATTCGATATTATGTTGATATCCCATCTATACTATTTTAGAAAACATTTTCAAGCCCCTAATTAGAATGTTTGGAATTTTGTTTAATTTCCTTCAATAAGTAAACAGATTTCGTTTATATCGAAAAATACTTAGCCATATATATAAATATCTAAAATGAGAATTTGGTCAAGGCTTATCCTGTCTTTTATTCTGGAAACTTAATTTTCATCTCTAAGACTTATGCCTGCTTATTTTCGGCGAAAACATCTGGATTTCTTATGTAGTAGGTACTCAGGCCAGGAATTCAACAAACATAAAACGGGTTTTTCATAAAGTTCTCACTCAGTCTGTGGGAGAGGGAGCACTTTCTGGTGGCAGGGATAAGAACATGCAACGCCGGCAAATGAACATAATTTGTGTTAGGAAATCTACATAAAATTTACTGTGACTCCCCCCACAAGCTGGCAACAGCAAGGCTTCTTCCACATGCACACACACTGAACACGCGCCAGGACCATGCAACAGTGGAGTTGCTGATGAGCAGATAAATTCATTAGGCAAAACCATGTAATTGTTCCACCAGGACAACGGGAAAGGCGACGCGACAGTGAGCCCCGATGGCGGGCTAAAACGGGTGCTAAAGCCAAACAAACAACAGCAGCGCCAGCCAGGCAAGGATATGCGGCCAGTTGGCCCAGCTGGCAGCAGTGCAACACGAGGCAACCAGGCAACCAGGCAGCCCAGCAGCCCAGGCAGATCTTAAGTTTTGCGGGGCTGTCGGCCGTCGCATCAGAGGCGGAGGCACGTACCGGCAGCTGGCTAGGAAGGTGCTGGCATGCGAAGCGTTACTAAATACAAATTAAACAAATCCATAAATAATGTTTAATAATATTAACAAGGATATTAGCAGAAACCACACACACACACGCACACGCACGCACACACACACACACACACACTTATTGCAATCAGTGTGACTGCGTGAAAATGCACATTTTGTGGTTGTGCCTCTGCTGGGCTTACGACTAGACGTCGACTTGTGTACTGCCTAAGGATACACGGGTGCTAAGACCACCTGGGATTTAAGTGGAAGAACTGGCTATCAATCGCAACTCCATCAGCCACTCGATCTTCAGCTTGTACGCCGACGTACGTAAACTACACTTCTGACATTGACCACTCGTGTAGGGAATTTAATAATTGTATTAGTGTAAAGCATAGAAGAAGACCTACGAACTCAAAAAGTATATATTCTTGATCAGTATAAACTGACGTTTCGATGTAGCCATGTTTGTCCGTGTGTCTGTCTTCCAAACATATTTGCAAACCGGAATCGGAAAACTATATTATATGGCTCCTGTTGGGACAATCAGTCCTAAATTAAGCGTTGGGAACAAAGTATTTGTACAACAGTCTTTTATTAAATTAGATCAAAATTAAAAGAAATCTCCAATTCGATATCGTTTTAAAAGGGGCGCGAAGTAAATTTTCGCTATAATAACCAAAAAGATATAAAAGTGAGCAGGTTGTCTATAGAGCTATTTCAAGAGCCCAACACTTCTATCGTCAGGTTTGCTAGCCCTTGTCACAATTTTGAAGCTAGAACTTATTGAGAATTATAAGCAAGGAAAATTAATTTGTTCTACAAAATTGTTTTCAGATTATAGCTATTCATTTATTCTTAATTAATTTGATTATTGAACACGTTCGTTTTTCCATATAGAAAAGTTTTCGGAAACTTTAGCTTAAACTTAAAATGGATGCTTATTTTCTTTATATACTCCAAAACTTTGTTTTGCATTCATAATTCAATTTAAAAAAAAATCGGTAAGGGATAAGTAAAGTTTTTCAACAATTAATGTGTTAATAACTTAGTTAATAAAAAAAAATGTACTAGAAATATCTTTCATTCAATTTATATTTTGAGTTTTCAGGAACTTGCTCTGATTTTAATCTCTTCTTATCTTTGCGATTTTTCTGTCTACCTCTTGAAGTTTTTCTGTCTGGCATTTGCGTTTTTTTAACGGCGGTTCCCTACCTCTCAGTCGTTTTTTTGAATTCGGATTATGTTCGATATTATTGGTAGGCATATCCATCGATGAGGAGCTCAGCTCCGAGGTGTGTGTGCTGGAGCCGTAGCTAGACGAATCACTGTCTGAGGATGAGCTGTTGCTACTGAACCTACGACCCTTGCGTGGAGCATGCAGGACATTCTTCATGCTGGGCCTATAGCCGCCTTTTTTGGGTGTATAGGATACTTCTCTTTGGGCTGCTTTAAGCTTTCGGTAGAGCTTGCGCTTGCAGGCATTGGCAGGTGACAGTGTTGTCGCAGACGAAGAGCTCGTCGAGTTGGTTGTGGATGAGTAATCGGGTGTGCTGCTGCTGCTGCTGCTGGGACTAGGGCTGCTATATTGGAGTCTCACCTGTCTACCCGGATCATTTGGCCATCGGCACCGGTCGTATAGCCGCATTGCCAGAAGGGGCGAGCGTTCCTTAAGTTGATGATCGGGCAGCTCGTGCTGATGCGTGTAGTACGGATCGGTGTCCAAGTCATTGAATTCCACCCAAGGCTGATGCTTGTGACGGCGCGCAACCGAGTTGCCCACTTTATAGCCAGCCTGTCGCATCATCTGCTTGAGACTTTGCAAATTTCTATCGAAGGAGCTTTCAAGGTCCGGCCCAAGCTGCGGCGGATAGCCAAGCCAGTCTGGCGGCGGCGGCAGCGGCAGCTCACTATAAATGTGATTGCCCATGGTGTCATACAAGGATGACGCCACTGGCAGGTTAACGCGCTCGAACATGACATAGTTGCCCAGATCTGTGCTTCCCGGATGCCTGAAGCGGCAGTTGTCGCCCCAAGTGCAGCTATTGCGCTGATAGAAGCGGCAAACAGGCAGCAGCTCCTCGTCATCGTCACCAGTAACCTCGCCATCCTCCAGTTCGGACTGTATCCGTAGGGCCGCCGGCTTCTTGTTGTTCCTCCTACTAATGTCAGGCGGATCTTTTCTGATGCCAAGCTGCTTCTTTCCAGCTTTCTCCAGCTTCAGTTGCAGTGAGCTTTTCTCAGACAAGCCTAATGAAGGAGGTGTCTGGCAGAGAAGTTCCTTTTTAATCACGCGTATATCACGCGGCTTGATATCCGTCAAGTCAAGGCACGGCGACTGAGGTTCCACTTTAACTGTTACCTTCGGTTTATCTCTAGGAGTCGACATCATTTTGATATGGCTCAATGAGGCCTGTTGACAGCCAGTACACAGATAATTCTTCGTGTACCCAAATTAACAAACTCAAACTTGCATGGCAAAATATTAGGGGGAAACGTATCTACTCGATACTATCAAGTTGCATCTGATTTGTTATCGATGCTCGATAAGCCGATGCTGCAGCGTTGCCAGAAAGCTTCATTGGCTCAAATTAGCCAATTAGTTCAAGATGTATATATTTATAAATATATTCATAAATGCCTCTATTATTCTTTATTTAAATAATTTATGAAACTTCCCGAAACTTCTATCTCTATCCTTCTCTCTCGCAATTTTATCACAATCATAAAGCCAGAAAGCTTTTTGATCAGAAAAACTATTTACTAATTCCAATTAGCCAATTAATTCGATGACTTCAATGAACTATATTTATTTTTAAATATTTCCATAAATGCCTCTATTATTATTTATTTTATTACTTTATGAAGCTTACCGAAATTTCTCTCTCTTTCGCAAATTTATCACAATCATAATCATGAACTTATCATTGCGGACATAGTAAGCCACATAAATATTACATTTCTTAAATAAACATATAGAAAAATTTATATAATGTCAAAATTGGAGCAAATAAATTTGATGCTTAGAAAATCCGTGTACATGACTGTGGCCCACTTGCGAGATATACTGATTCTGCCTCTTGACACACTAGTATTGGTGACAACAACAATTTTGCTGAAGATATTTCAAAAAGTTTTCCTCTGTTTCATTGGAGTATATAAGGATGTGGACACAGCACTCCGAGAGGCAGAGGAAATCGCGCGATGCATTTGGAATGTCTGCATTAAATTGTTTGTTGTCCTACTAGACGATTTTTTCATTGTATCGAGAGCTGAATTTGGATATGTGGGCATACAATAAATCATATAAATGAAAAATAATAATATAAAAAAAATAAAACAATAGCAACAGTTACCTAATACTCAGACTGTCACGTAAGAACCGAAACCTGTTTTAAGCGACTTATGAACGTTCCATCAGTTTTCCGTAGATCATTTGGGTATAACGTGGCGTATACTTATTTGTATCCTCAGTGTGTATTGCCAGCAAATAATAAAGGGTTTCACAATTCCTTATTGGGATAACAAACACAATATGTAACCTAAGTACTACATTTAAATGCATATTAAAAAGCATGCGGCTGGCTTGCAAATTAGAGGCCCTCGGGCAACTCCATGGCTGCGGCCCGTGTCCCGTGACCGTGACTCCCCTGCTCCGAACGCGTCCAGCATCAATTTCCGCAAAATTGCGCCACTAAATTACCATAACGGGGCGGCAATCCTGTGCCTCCCGCCCGGTGAATAAGACGAGCGAAAACTAACGGAAACATATTACGCCAACTTGAGAAACCAAACAAAAAGGCGACAAGTGAGAGATGCGGCCAAGGACGAGACAGGGCCAGCAGCGACAAGGCGAGACAAACGCCGAGCCCCAAAAATCAAAAGGAAAAAAACTCCAAATAACCAAAAACAAAAGAAAAGGGAGCAGCGCGAAAAACGCAAACATCAGCAATGCGGCAGCCATTGGTGCTACCTGTTCCCTGTTCCCGAACCCCAGCTCCAGCTCAAGCCCCAGCTCCAGCTTTGAACCGGGTTCTTCAGTTTGTCCCACAGGACTTGTAAATAGCAACACGCAAACAAGTTAAAAAGTTCTGCTGTTGTTCTTCGGTTCGCTTCTTTATGCTTCGCCTGGCTCGGGCCCAACATAATCGTTTCTCATTTCAATGGCGGGGGCAACCGACCCCGACTCCACTTTCTGCTCCAGCTCCATTGCCTGCTTCTGCTGCAGCTCACCTTTTGTGCTGGCCCGCAATTTAGTTTTGAGCGTAATTTCTTTTAATAGCGCCAGTCGACAGATAAAATTCACCACACCCAAACACACACACGGACACTGACGTCTGCGTCTTGTAGATGTCTCGCGCCCAGTTAGAGCATTTGTCGAGGTGCTGAGGTCAAGGGGTGAGCGGGGGGGCGTGCGCGTCGCAGGCGGATATCGCAAGTAAATTGCTTAATTTTGGCCATGCCTTAGACTCACCCCCCTCTTGGATCAAGGCTTGGTCAGGGGGCAGTACCTGGCAGAGGCATCTCTTAGGCCCTGCTACTTGTTTTGTTTTATTGGGCCTTGGGGTTGCAGCTGCTAGTGTTGGGTCTTCGGTCTTCGGTCTTCGCTCGAGGTTGACGTTTTCGGGCATGACGATTTCATTTGCATTTTATGATAATTGAACTTCATAAATATGTCACGGCAGCATCTTAAAAGTGCCAACGGTAAGTACACACACCGTTTGTTGCCAGAGATAAATGCTATGGCTGCCAGGATCCCATTGTCCTCGCCCCCGTAACGTTGGCGGCATGTGCTTCATAATTATTTTGAAGTGTTGTCGTTAATTTGAAATACTTATGGGCGGCACGGGCTGGACCATAAACTGCTAAACAAAACTGGATTACGGTTACATTTTAAATATGCTAAATATATGTGGCATCCTTATGTATAACCAGGCTCGGGGGCTGCTCTTACAGATGATGATGATGATGATAGCCATGCCTGGAATATATTCAGTATATAGTAAGTAGCAATAGTCAGGCTGGATATAAGTGTTGCAACAAGAGCCTTATTAGGGAACAATTGGGAACAGGCAGAAACCGAATCTCCTGGGCCTCCTCACTTTCTTTTAAACGCATTAGCCTCTCCAAAATTAGGTCCCAGATTGGTTAAACTTCGGAACTGGATATAAGGGCACATATTATATATGAGACTGGGATCCAAGTCTTCTCAAAATGTTTTTTTTTCCACCAAACGTTTTTTCAATTCGGGTTTCAGCTCGTCGGTTTTTTTTTTCATTTTTTCGACTAGAGGATCTCTTCATTATAAGGAAAATAAATTCGATTTAAGGCTGGATTGCAGCCCCAGGTTTCTACTGGTTAAATCTAAAAATAGCTATCTGTTAAGTCAGATGACTCCGACTGCAATTTTCCTGATTACGTTTAGATTTTATTTCTTTATTTTTAACAATCGTTTTCCCCAAGAGGTATGTTAATTATTTAAGCGCTTACATTTTGGGGGACATGCCTAATATCTTCATCCATTCAAGCTGATGTATGCGGAAGTATTTCCAAGCGTCAATCATTTAGTCGCCCAACAGCCAAACCCTAACCCAGTCGAGTCAAAGCCGTTTAACACCTCATTAGAATCAAGACTCATCTACATTCCAGCGCAGGACCAACAGGATCCATTCATCTTAAGTGTGAGGTCACAACAGCAGCAACTACAACTATTCGGCGGCGCCATGAATAAAGTCAGGCATAAACAGGATATATGGCCACAAATCCCAGCGCCTTGCAGTGGCAATGAATATTAATGAGATGTCATCAGTCTTTCGTCAAATTAAAACGCACAGCAGAACGCAACGGCCCAGAACGGGAGGACTGCGTCTATGACTTCGACTCGAAACCCGGGCGGAGCGAGTCGGAGCAGAGCTTGTTGCTGGCGCACATCCTGCGGTAACTTTTCTAATTGTTGCCAACACACAACACGAATAAATCAGCCGGAAAACAGGCAGCCGCTGACGTTGGAAGGGTGCGATAGTCAAATGTCTCCGACTCCGACCCGTCTCTCAGTCAGATGCTGCCTGGCCGTAAGGAATTTTCGGCAATTTGTTTTGCACTAGTTGAGTATTCCATCAGCCGGCAAGGTGGTTGCTGGGTAAATCTCAACCCTTGAGCGTCACCTTCGCCGTCATACGTCAGCGTACTATCATCACGCTTGTTTACACGCATAATTATGTGTGCCGGATTCCGGGAATTCCACTTCCATTGCCGCCGGCGACAGCACCGCAAGTCAGCCGACATTGTTGCCTCCTCGCCTTGACATGCCGCCCCCCTCCTCACCGCTATGTACAGAGCATATCCAAGGAGCCAAAGCGCTTCTGGCTTCGTCTTGCGGTTTTGCCGGCTGCCTCAGGCGATTTAATGCCTCGTGACAGATTTCTCACTTGAACCCAAAATGACGGGCCGTGTCACAATTTGATGCTGATAATATGTTAATGAGGTTTGTTTATTTGATTCATATTCCCCTTGTCAGCTTGAAGCAACTTTGGGGCCAACTTTACAGCTGAGTCAGCTCAGGTCTCCCAGCACTTGTTGTTTACTTAAATCCAGCTTAAGTGGAAGTTAATCGCAGCTTTTGGACTTACACCACAGACATAATTGCATCAGTTGCTTGTGGCTCAATCTTATTTATAAGAAAACATTAAGTTGGTTTACAGTGTTATTGAGAGTTTTGTATGTGAAGGCTATGCTATATGCTATGTGAAGGCCCTTTGAGGTTAGTACGGATATTCACCCTTTTTCCGACCGTGCGAGTGATATTAACAAAATTAAATTTAGCTTGTGTTCACATGATTTTTTGTTTAAAATGTAAGCTCCGATTGATTAAAGGAATGTAAGCCCAAGAAAGAAATTTCAAAATTGTGTTAACTTTGAATATTCTGTCAAATACTGCAAAGTTTACATGAGTGCTTCGGTTTAATAAGAACCGAATAACGGAAAGAAATCATCAAAATTTCATTTATCAAACTAAATCGTAATTTATTTTCAAAAAAAAAAGGTAAGCCCAACATATTAGCCATACTTTCGCTCGCATTCACTGAACTGCTCGACTTTTGCAGTTACCATGATACGCCTTAAGCAAATCGAACCAGCCCAGGTCGAGGTACGCGCCAAGGACGAGGTTCGCGCCAGTTTCATCGTGTTTGCCGTACTCTGTGCTACCATTAGAGTGGCCCCATATTTGCTGCGCAAACTGTCTTCCTAGTTAGATGTACCCGATTGCTGTAGCCAGAGCTTGTTCCCTAAACCCAGTCACGACAAAGAGTCTGCTATAAACAAAAAATAAATTCAACTTAACATGCAAATAAATTAAAGAAAGCCTTAGCTGTAAATTATCCATTGTTCATCTAATCAATGTTTGCATAACTTGTTTATCTTAAGATTTTCAAGAGGAAACAGAGTGTAATGGCC